TATTACCTTCTCTGGGCCCCTTAAAAATGTTCAAAAATCGTCACAATTAATTATCTTTCTCTTAATTGAATTTATATTGTGATATTCCATGGATTAGATTACTTCTTTTTATGGTAAACTTGAATATGTACAGTTTAACTTATTTTATAATATAGCATTTTTAGCTAAACTTTAAATTAGCACTACTTAGAAAAATTATTCTACTTTTACTTGTGCAATGTTATAAAGGAATAATCTCTCAATAGATCAGAATTTTATTCACATATTGGTTATGTAATTAAGAAAACGACTGGATAACCAACAAGCCTTATGTTCCAATAAGGTCTCAAGAGCTTCAAATTCAAGAGCAATATGTTTCAGTGAAAAGTATAATGAATAATGATGGACTGTTAATTTTGTGGTATCACTCCATTTACCAAAATGAATTAGCCACCAGAACTAACTTGTTTGAACCTTCTTGGTTTTTTTTTTTCATTTTAAAGAGTTTGTGAATACAACAATCTTTATAATTATCCTTCAAAATAAATTTTGCAAGATGAGCCATCCTAAAATATATTTGCGGAGGGAACGGATATTTTTCAATATTTTAGTGAGTTGAATGGCTCTTTCTAAGTTACGTTGTTTATTCTGATTTTTAGTTTCTATCATCACTTTGAAGTATCCAATAATTCAGCGCATGTATTTTATCTGTTACTCTTTATGATGTAGGAAAGTCTTAAATCATGGTTAAGAAAGATGAATTTGCGCATTGTAATTTGGTAGATTTCAATAGAGTAGGGCCACTTATTCAGGTATTTTGGTCTGCGAGCACCAAGAGAATAAAAACAGAACTTTAAAAAAAAATGAAACCTTTTAGTAAATCATTTATATAATGAAAACCAGTAAGAAATTGTTTATTTTATTTTTGACATATGCGTGAAACTAGTGTTGGTCTACAATGATCAGCATTGCCATACAATTGGTGGATTGTTTCTTTTTTTTCTGTGTTCAGGATGATTCAGCTCTTTGCATTGCTTTGAACAATAGGTTTGGCTTTTTAGTTAAAGACGTAATTCACTAAATTCAAGATCCCCTTCATTTTAATTATTTATTTAATGCCAGGAGGCACTTAACTAGTTTAAAGGAAATGTAGGTTTTGTTTACAGCGTTGAAAGAACGCTACTTATAAATCTTCAAACCTAGAAATTCTTGAATTTTCATGGAAAGTTTATCTGTTTTGCAACAGTTTGAAATGTAATTTAAAAAATTTAAAAGTTTGAAACACACTCTAAAAAAATTTCATTCATTCCAAAAATTTACTGTTTTCTAATGTGAGCAAGTATCAATAAAGCCACCAATGCCGAATCACTGGAAAGCAAATATATCGAATGTGGAAGTGCGAAACCATTTTCATTCTGGTGTTTCCAAATTTCCGCTCCCATTTTATATTTTTAAAGAGGAAAAAGTCACTTGACAGCTTGGAATACCCATCGAATATTCTGCAAAAGGAGGAGAAAATCGAGGAAGTTTTCAAGTAACGTAATACGTCTTATGTCGTACGTATTATGTCTACTAGTTTTTTAATGAAAAAATAAAGTAGTTTGACAGGAGCTCTACAACCCAAGCAGAGATACTTTGTTACGCAGACTACGCCAACAGAAGCGAAAGCTCCGTAAGAACTAATGTTAACATTTTTCTTCCCGGGGTCGGTCAATCTCCGTACTTATTGAAACCTGATTTGAGGTTAACCTACAAGTATAAAGTTGAAAAGAAACATAAAATTTTAAGCAACTCTACAGTTTGTCTCCGCAATAACAGTAAACAAGTGTAAAAAAATCTCTTATAATTCCTAAAAAGTCTGTTTCCGTTATCATTCGGCCTCTCCAGAACGTCGACATGCTGCAAACGTAAACACACCACTGGACTGTTCGTCCGTACTTACTGATTCAGTTTCCCTTCGATGACATAAAAATGGCGGTGGCTTTTGCCTCTGTAGTCTATTTAATCTATGGTTACGCACTTTGGCAATCGATATATGCAAATTTGTTGGAAACTTTTTTTTTTAGAAAAATAAAGGGAAATCTAAGGAGGGCTTAACGACTTTGTTATCGCAACATACATTCTGCTATCCATTAACATCACTTCCCCACTCTGCATCAAGCACAAGTAAAGTTATTAGACTATAGTTTCAATGTGCTTCTTCTTGCGTACCTTGTTTTTTCCCAACTGTTCTGGGATCATTTGTAATAGTAGGAATGATCATAGTATATGGCTATTTGACTCTCAAAGAGTATCTCTTTTACAAATAGCAATGTTTTCGGTTCTTTTGCTTGCTATTAGGCTGAGATACATATAACAGCACATCCGTCAGTGAACGAATCTTGCGTTCTCAGTGCTTATCCTTTTAGGATAGGTCTTTTAAGCAAAAATTTCACAACCTGTCGAGTGTTCTAAACTTTTTCGTAGGTTTTAAGCGAGAGCTCTTATTTCTTATTTAATTTTCTTTTTAGTGAGAGATAGTAATAATTGTCTCAATGAGACGGTCAATTATGAGTTATCCTTTGTGCGTAAAGGATTTTAAATTGTGTAGAAAAAATTGGATGAATTCTTTCCAAAGAATATTATCAAGAGAAAAGATCCTATCTTTGTACATATGTATGAAAATTATTTTAAAAAGTTATGTATGTTTCAATTTTTGTTTAATTTTTTGAAATAGTGTTTATTTACAAATTGATGAAGTTTGTGAATACAATATTCTAAAAAAAAACTCGATACCCTGCTTCATTATTACTCCTTCATTGGATATACCACCACATGAGTTTTTTGGACTGACTGACCAGTTCTCTTTTCTCTCCCTACTCACGTTTCTCCTTTTTGTCCCTTTTCTTCGTCACTCATTGTTGAAGTCAATTTTCTCCATACACCCTCCTTGAAATGGTGAAGTTTTTAAAATTTATCATGACCACCAGTTTGTATCATAAAAGCAACAACAAAGAAAGCAATTCATCAATGTTAATACTCAGCACCACTGAATCATTTTTTTTTCTTTTCTTTTCTAAATGATCAGATTTTGTAGGAATCGGAATAAATTTTCCAAAGTTGCTGCCACCATCCTACTCAACTAAATTGAATTAATTCTCTGTTTTGAGGTTTTTCTGTTTCTGAAGGATTCTCAACAACTCAGAAGGGGATTCTGTGCAAATCCAATATGACAACCTCTATAATCATATAATTGGTCTTTGTACCCCTAGAGACTTTTACTCAGAAAGATTCAAAGAACAAACATTTTTCACGGTGTAACTGAGAATTATCGTATCCTTTCCGTGTAATTTACAAAATAATAATCAGGGAAAAAACTTAAATTGCGGAATGGTGAAGTTTTAAACGTCTAATAAAAGCTATCACCATTAAATTTTGTCCTCATTTGTACTCATCATTTTTTCCATTTTATTGAATTGAAATTCATTTTCATATTTGTGTTGGATTTTTTCCCCCCGCTACATTATTTTTAATTTTTATCCATTTTTGCAATAATCTTTGTTCATTACCTAATTTCCGAATTCTGCCAGTCTTATCATAATTTTTATTTTGTTAAGTTTTTTGTTCACCTCTCTATTATAAATTTTTCTTCTTTCCTCAATTGATTTGAATTTAGTTAGTTAGGTACTCTCATTTTAAGTTCAATTTTTGTTGACATCTGCACTACAAATTTGAGACAAATTAATCCCACTGATAATTTCTATTTTTCATCGAACTTCTCATTTTTATCATTTTTATCATTTCTATCGGTTACATATAAACAGCTTTAAGTCACAACTCAGCGGTTTTTCTTATCATTTTTTCATTCGTGAAAATTTAGTACCTGGCTTGCTTTTTAGCTTTTGCTTGCAGTCCATCTGCTACAGTCCATGTTTTAAAGAATGAACCGTCTAAAAGGGTCTGATATAAAGGATCAGAATACATTTTTCCTATTCAATATTCAACATGAAACATGGTAGCTACTCATTGAAAATATTCTAATCCAACTTATTAGGGAGAAATTAGCGCTTTTTGTATCTGTGAAGTTGAACTGCCGGCTCATTCAAAATCTTCTCGTATCAAAACGAGCTTCAAACCAGTTTCTGTGAGCTCTGCAATTAAATAATTTCTGTGCTCTGAATATTTCTTGACAAGTTTAAAAGCTCTGCAAATCAGAAAAGAAATAAAATTTAAATCAAATTGTAAGTTTATCTCCTTCAGTTACTTTTCCTTTAGTTAATTTTGGTTATTTTGCTGGCTGAAATATTAAATTCACTATTTTTAATGTAAAAGAGAAACGCTAATCGCTCGCTATGAGTATGGCTTTTAGGACATGTTAAAATATAATGGAAAAATAAACAATATAAGTATGAATTAATAATTCAATATTGTTGATGATGGTCTGTCTACAGCACTATTTTCAGTATATCTAATTTTTTCTACGTGAAATTTGGTTGCTAACTTGTCTTGTGAAGTTTTGATTCAATCCGTTCACTGGCCCATTTTCAATTACCATTTTACGTGCCACTATTTTATCCTTTAATGCAATATCCAAAATTCTTTTGTGAGCAGTACCATCAAACGTCATTACAGTAAATCAATTACCTGCTGCCGGATTGCACACTATACTTTTAATTCATTTTCAACTCATAAATGCGTGTACTGCAGTTTTCATCCTTTTAGTCGGGTAACTAACAATTAGCTCAGCTGCCACAGACCAAGTAATGTTCATTGAATAGTGATGACAATGTCTAACTCTACCATTAAAATAGGTTTTGAAGTTTCATTTAAGTCTCGGTATTGCGCAAATGCGAGCAGAAGCAGTTATGTAATACTCTAATATCATATACTGATTGGTGCTCTAATTTTTCAAGCCTATTTTTCCTATTATTATTTACTTTTAAATGCCTCAATTCTTCTCCCTTTTTCTATCCTTTTCTTCTTATATGATTCATTTCTTTAATTCTATTGTGTGTTTTTTTATTTTTTCTTATTCTGAGCAGAAGAAAATCATGATAATAATATGTTTGACAATCTTGATTGTTATCCTTGGAGGAGCTGTTTTGAGCAGCGTGCCTCTTCCGTTTTAATTCCAAGTTCTCATCGTCTGTAAGTATTTCCCATTGTATTTTTTAGTTTAATTAATTTTTATACCTTTTGCATACTGATTAAAGGGGGTTTCCTCTCCTTCAGTTACACACATATCATGGAGAAGGAATTTATGCGAAACATTGACAATTATCAACAATTAGAATTTTATGTGTTCTCTTGATTTATTGCACCTGAAACTGGAATTCAAAGAGAAACAAGCGCCTAAGTTTCTGATCAATTTTCTTTGAAACAAGTAGAGGATTGAATATGTTTCAGTATCGTAAAATTTTACTCGAAACTTTTTTCAACAACTCTCAGGCAGAATTCTTTGGTGCATATCTCATCTACCTAAAATGGATGGCTTCTATCGAAATAAATTTGATTTTTACATCTCCTTTTTATATCATGCCAAAGAAGGAGAAATTTTTCTCTGAACTTTGAACGAGCACAATTTGACAGTGCTCAGGACCCCACTTACGTAGTTTTTTCTCCCCCAACTTTTTTGGTGATGCAATTTTCTCTTTACTTAATCACTTTTATTCTTTTCCAGAATCTATCATCTCTCATTGTTATTTTAATATGTAATGTTCTATCGAACTTGCTGGTCAGCAGAACTTCTAATTTTGGGCTGGCAGCTGAAATTTAGTCATCATGCGTGATTTGGAATTCTCGTTTATGCTTCCTCTAACGCATTTCATCGTTGAATTTTAAAACTTAAAGTATTGGTTTGTAAATTTGATCCTTCAGTTTGTTTTTTTTCTTGTATAGTTGAATTTCCTTATTATTTTAGCAGAGACATTTATCCGTATGTTTTTGTAAATATCCTGTTTAATATATGAATATTTTGCTTGTGAGCATTACGTACACTGTATTTATTAATTTGTATAATACTTATTATTGATTTATCATTATGTATCATTTTTCTTATGAAGGAAATGTGTTTTTGTGTACCTTGCAGTCGTTCATTCTTGAATTTATTGTCTTGACGCTATGTCATTGAATGATCATGTATTCTTTTGTCAAGGAAGTGAAGGTATCGGTATGACACATGATTCCATGTACCTCATTAGTTCCTGTCTTTTTTATCAAAGGTCGGATTTAAATAAATTCTATCTTTTGAAATTTTTACCGACTGTTCTCTGTCCGGAAAAATTTTGCTCACGTACTCAAAAGTTGAAAAATCGTCTTTAGATTATGAGTGAAAGACATGACTTGGCAAAGAACCGCAAGTGGCTTATAGAATGTTTGTATTCAAAGAAGGTCAAACTATTGTTTCAAAGAGCAATATTTTTATTGTCTGCTCACTTTTTTGTAGTGAAAAATGAATTTGTAGCACTTTCATCCTCTATATCATAAGAATTGAAGGAAATATTTGGTTAGTTTTTTCTGCTTTTTGAAAGACTAGTCGTAATGAGAATTAATTTTTCCTCTAGTCGTAAGGGCCTTCTCGTTTTATTTCTGTTACATTAGATTCATTGCAGAAGTGATAAGTACTTACATATTTTGTTTGCTTTCCTTATTCATCCATTTTCTTCCAAAGGATAGAAGATATACATTGAGAACTCAGTTTATCTATTCTAAAAATTCATGTACGGTTGCATCAGAGCAATACTATGCTATTAAAAAACAGTGTCAATTTTGTCCTACATATCAATAGGGTCAATGACTGATTTTCTTCGCACACTGACAAAATTTCCTGCCAACTGGTGATGTGGTCTTGTCATCTAAGTACTAAAGGTGTTGAAATTGGAGCTTGTTCAAATTTCCATACTTTCTTGACAGCTTGAAAGATGAGTTTCTGATTCATAGTGTTGCTCTGATGCTGTTATCTATTCTAATTTTTGAAGGGTGTCTAGAGGATCATTTCATTTGTGATACAAAATTCTTTTAATGACATGTTTTAAGTTTTAGTTCTCTGGCACATTTGAGTCGTTTCAATTTTACAAGCATGAAAACAAGAAAAACAATATGTGAATCGTTGGATTCATCATTTGAATTTTATTCTGGCATCTTATAACTGTTATATCATGAATTGCATGGCATGAATAAGATAGTGTGTGTTCCTATCAGCCCCTAGCAATAAAAAACAAATCCAAATGAATCAATAGGGTTGAGCGATGAATCTGCCAAAACTTGTAAATTCTATGTATGTACCAAGATGACACACAAATGAATCTGTTTTCTGTCCTTAAATGCACAGCATACTAACCAAAAAAAATTGTAAGCACTTACTGGGCTTAACTTCATTAACCAAATGACATAAGTGGGTCACTCTTAGGGAAGACAGTTTGAAACAGAATACAAGGCCTAACAGCAACTAGATAATATTCTACTTTAATGCAAGCGTTTTATGCAGATGATTGGAAGTTGATTTTAAAGACTTTCCTCACTTTCTGGCAAACTTTAAGACAAGTTGTATGACCTCTGTTTCGAACTTCTTTTTCCAGTTGCCTTTTCCCGTCCTTCCTCTCCTCTCCACCTCCCATCACCCCAAAGATAAAAATTTTAAGATTCTAAAAAAAAAATGCCAGCAGTTGTATGGCCTTGCTATTTTAACAAATTATGAAATAACTACCACATTACTTCCATAAATCATCATTTTACGAGTTGTATCTTGCTATGAACCTGAGGATGCTACCTGATTTTGCTGAATGAGAATTAGATCCAATGTCTTTGAAACCAAATAAATCATGCAAACATCCCCGCTCTCCAGGGCTTTTAAAAGCTTTTTTCCTTTTCTTTCTTCAAAAGTGAAATTCTAATTAAGTTATTTGCTTTATTTACTGTAGGTAATTTAAGGACACAAATGAAAAATTTAAGGAGTACCCTCCAAACCTTCTTGATTATAGTCAATTTTGTCTAGTGAGTAATACATACCGAATAGCTTGCAAATAATGTGTAAAGTAAACTTCTAGACTTGTCGTAATAAAAGGTGGGTCTGTGCATAACATTTTTCAGGTGGAAAAATAAGTTAATTATTCTTCTGCAAATACAAAGAAAAATTCTCTTTTGTTGCCTATGTTACTACTTAGTCACCCATGTTCACTGGGCAAGGTTAAGTAAGCTTTGATAAAAATGTCAATTATAATTTTAACTGAGGATTAATCTGTATAGGTGTTTGCCCTGCCTTCAAATTCTACCAATACAGCTTTTTGCACTGTATGATCTGCTCGGTTTTGTCACCTTAACGTACGTATTTGAGTGAATATCAGGTTGCCTCGGAGTATTTGCATAAGCAGAGTTCAAAGTTACTTTTCATACTATCTGCCCCCTTGAATCACGAGGCGAGTGCTATTTCAGTAATAGCATCAAACAAAACTTGGTTATTTAAATTTATGATCAGCTCTTTTAGTGTAGCTGTATATCATGGATGTAAATTATGTAATTTTGCTGTAAGTTCATTGAATTATTGCAAATACCAAGATTTTTCAGTGGTACGAATTTGATAGGAGTGCTCCTGTCATGTTTGAAAGTGTCAGCGAATAAATCCCCGATTTTTATTCCACCATATTGCATAAGTTGAAAAGCTTTAGAATCAAGTCTTTTAGTTCAATCTTTTTTCATTTTTGTTTTTAAATATTAGCTTTCTTTCTTCAATTATGAGTCATTTGGTTTTAAAACAAGAATATCAGTGAGTTTAGGTTTTCCGGAATTAGAACCATAATTCCATCATGTCCTCACTGTTCACCTTTTCTGTAATCTCCATAAATGTAAAAAGTGTGTCAATGATTTTTTTCAAACTTAGAAGAAATCACTTGTCCACCCAAATGGTTCTCAACAGTTGAATTTTCATTAATCCTTTATTGCTCTTAGTATCTTTTGCAAATGAGTAGACCTTTCTATTTCTCTAGCAAAATTGAACGAAAAAAAAAGAAAAATTATTTTTGGTGATTGGAATGTTTTTAACTTTCAATTTTGCCTTCATCATAGTAGTGCTGAATATTTCTAAAAGATTGGAAGGAAAGATTAGAGATTTGTCCCTCCAACTATAGATCCTCACCTTTCAAGTAGGTAGTGCAATTTTTTAAATTTTTTATAACTTTTAGGAAGAATTACAATTTACTTAAATAGGTAGGTACTTTAAATTTTAAAAAAGGAAAACATGTTAGTTTTCCTTTTAATTTTATTCCTCAAGTGTTCATTTCCATTCTTGCGTTATGTATGTAAATGCCTGTTACCAGTTGATAATGAAACGATACTCTCATTTAGTTTTCATCAGGGCTAGACTTAGGATGTATTAGTAGAAAGATTTGTCTCTACTTTCACTTGCTTAACAGTTAAGTCTTTTCTGTAACAATTTAACAGCTGAAAGGAATTCACAGTTGACACGGATTCTATAATTTTTCAAGGGTCACCTTTTGAAACTGCAGAAAAATCTGCTCACTGCTTGCTTGTTTTTTTCTCTTTTTGATAAGTACCTATGAGAAAAACGAGACGATTAACACTCTTTTTTCCAATCTGATGAATTTCTACACCTGATGAGGGCTTGTCTGGGCTGCTCCTTGTCAAAAGAAGACCTATAGAAAATCAACAGACCCTAGTATTTTTTATTCGCTCTATTCACTGTGAAAAAACACTCAAAAAATTGAAGACAAACGCTATTAAAATTTCTCCTCTTTTTCCAACACACCTCAGTACTGCTTTCTGACATTTTGGCGAGGCTGAGTAGGTCGTAGCTCTAATGCTGACCGCTCACAGTTGATAACTTACGAGTTCAATTTTTTGTCATCAGACATCTTCTCTTGCTTTTTTACTAATGCCTCTCCTTTCCCACCAGCTTTTAAACTGTTAACAGCATACACTAAAGTTTCCAGGAAAAAGAGAAATATTAAATGCTTCTCTAAGTAATTTTGGATGCTGAATTTGTTACTAATGTAAGATTAATGCATAGAGTCTCTGTTATTTAAGCTGATGGGACACAATTTCATAATTTGTGATCTAAAAATCAGGCAACATTCCAATTTCGAAACTTGATAAAGATAAAGTTGTTGAATCATTGAAGGAAAATATTTTACTTTCAAAATGTTACATCATCCTAATTTCAAAGAATCATAGGAAAATTTATATTTTACATTTGAGGAGAAGTTTTCTTTCATTGTTTTTTTCATTTCATTATTTCCCAATTCCACATCGCTTTTTGAGCAATGTGCTGAATTTTATGGATTAGAAAGTCACTAATCGATAACATCATAAGTTTTAATGGCACACATCAAAGGCCCACTCGATCATTAACCTTTCAACATCAAGATGAATTTAAGTGATCCAAGTTAAAAACTGCCTCTGTGCTGCACTGCTACATGGTCCATGCCTTTAAAAGAAAAGACCTTGTCCAGTGGTCCATTTTGCAACGCTGTGGCTGATCTTTTTCAAAATCACTTGGGTTCACCTTATGGAAAGTAGTTTCAAAGATGCAAATCAACAGTCCAGCCTTGATTTTGAAACCAAAGTACAATTTTGATTCACACTAAGTTTTGAAACGGTATGCAAGAAGTTAAAACTGTTAAATCTTTATGCATTTCACATGAGATACATCAGATTCTTCTTTTAAGTTCTTCTAAAAGTTTTGAAATACTCTCTATAGCTTCCAGAAACTTGACTGCTCAGTTAGGCTTCATAGGAAAAAGAAAAAAGCCAGCCCCCTGAACACACATGGAAGAAAGTTCGTCTGAATTTATAATCAGGATCAGTTAATGAATCTGAAGTTTCTCAATCAAAACACAAATCTTTAAATGTTTCTTGTACTCATAAGACTATTTATCAGGTAGTTCCGTTAAGTGAAATTCGCTTTCACTCTTCTTTGCTATAGTAGATGATTAATTAGTGACTTCATCAACCAAAGTGCTAAAATTTATCTTGTTACTTCAATAAAAGCAGCCTCAATAAAGCCTAAGCAGCGATCCAATCATAGCTTCATACTCACTAATGTACCAAAAATGTTTAAAATAAAATCAATGATCTGAGCGAAACATGCACTTACTGAAGCAACACAAAACTTGTTTTTTCGTCTAAGTTTCACCTGAAATGTATCGAACATTTCCAAAACCAACTTGTAAGTGAGATATAAGCTCTTTTAGGGTATGTCAATTCAAACGTCCTCTTGCCCAAAAACCATTAGCTGCTTTAGTTGGCATGCTCACTGAAATAATTTTGGCATTTTTTATTCTCATAGGATTTTCCAAGTGTATTGATTTTTCCAAACAAGTTAACAAATTCTTGTCTCCTGCACAAAGGAACGCACCTTGATTGCCCTGCTTCATTATCTCTTACTGCCACTTTATTTTTTAACGAATTTGCCTGAAATGATCAGGGATATTTCCTCTTGCTTTTAGGATATACACTAAAATTCTCAGACAAATTAGTGTGATGGTTCTCCTATAAAAAATAAAATGTTCTTAGAAGTACTGAAACAGTGCAGACAAGACACGTCCCTTCATGCAGGAAACTACGAACTATGATGTCTCGGCGAAAAAAGGAAAGTTTTTCCGGGTAATTTTCAACATGCTTAAATTTACTATCAGCTACCAACCAGAATTAGTGCATCAATTTGACTTATTCTGTGGATGAAAAATTTGATTTGACTTGTTTTAATGTACCTAATCTATAAATATCAATTTCTCCTCTAACTGCTGATTTCGGTTTTCAGTAGGTATGTCCACTATGTCTCATTCAAAATTTTGCGGAGGAAGTATTTGCAGTGTCTCAGTTCTTATTATGTGCAGTGATTCACACTATAGGCACTCAGTGCTGTCGCACTCCACTGCAGATGTAAATCATTCTGAAATGCTCATTTCCTTACAGACTTTAAAACCATCACAAAATGTACTCATCAATTTAGATGAGTGCAAACTTTTTCTTCAACTCAGCTCAGCTTAGCTCAGTCATCGATTGTTACATTTACTTCCTGTCTAACATTTCCTCAGCCATCGCTAGCTTCCAGTAGAATTGAAATGCTTCTTTCATACTCATTCAAAATTTCAGAGGCAGCTGTATTCATCAAGATTTGAGTTGAGGAAATGAGCAATTCACCCTAAAGCCTTAACGCTGGCACAAAGTGACATACTGTGAAAAAATTTCCCAGGTGACAGTCAATTGCCGAGTTCTTGTCTGTCACTCGAACTAGGTTATAAGGGAAATTTTGAGGAAAAGAATTCCCACTTTCGTTGATGCTAAGAGTAAAGCTCATTCAGAGCAGAGAGAGGAACTCAACAGCAGCCCGACACCCAAGGGTGTTATCTTATGGTGTTATCTTATGGTATGCCAGCAATATTGCTCTAGTGTGTGTCGTTCATTCTCTGCAGATAATACTCTTCTGATTTACCCAAAAGAGGAGAGTGGTTTGATAGAGCTAATTATTTATCAATTCATTTCATACCCTAGCTGGACAAGAATCTTCGTAAGAAGCTAAGCAATAGTAAGATTATTGAGGCGATCAATTGTGCACAATAAACTGTCCGAACTCGGAGTTTTTGTCTTTCCTACAATTATTGTCTCAATAGAGTCGATTTTGTATTTATGTATAAATTTAGAGCTGGAATTTTTTGTTGCTGTTCGCTCACTTTCTAACCTGAGGAGACTTCAATGATTGTCTAGCAAACGAAAGTTGATCTAAAGAAGGAAAAACAAGGCATTGAGTCTATTCAACCCAACAAAAAGAGTGCAGTGACTAGAATCTCGGATACAAGGAAAAACAAAGGAGCAGAATGAAAGTTAATTGTAAAAATGCGCCCAGCTATAAAAAGTACTTAGCATGAATTTTTCCAAGCAAAATGCATTATTTTAAAAGTATTTTCAGGCTTGCACAAGTATGAGTTGATTAGTGCAGATCATTGCCTCCAATTCATCACAAGAAATCAGGTTTTTGATTTATGGAAAGAGACAACCCATAAGGCATTACTTAATGGAAAAGTTAAAGTAAGAAGGTATGAACTGACCTTGTTTGTCCCTTGTCAATGAGTTCCTTTGCATATTAGGATTTCTCGAGCGCATTTAAATATTTGAAAAATTTAAAGGCAATAAAAGATTCATTTCGTGTGTGACTTTTGATTTTTTTTTTAATCTATTTATTTAATTATTTATTTTTGTTTTTCGATATCTATAACAATAGAACCTGCAACTGGTCAGCTATGAGCAGTGAAGATTCGAAAAACATTTATTACCGCTCTCTCTATTTCCTTCTCACTATTTCCTTTTGATCTGTCTTTGTAAGTATAGGTGTCCTGTATCCTCGGGTTGAGAGTAAGAGTGCAGCAGCCATAAATTTCCTGTCCTTCTATCAATTTGTAATTACGTTGCAACGTGTATTATTCATGCATATATTATTGTAAATATGTTTAATTTTATATTGTTACTTACGTTTCTCTGTTTGTTATTTTGCTGTTTTACAAAAGTCATTTCTCCTACAGGCTAAAATTTTAAAAGTTCTCTTGTTGTTAGACAGTTTTAGTTTGAAAACACATTAGGCAATAAATTATATACTATCAATAGACCTCCATTTTATTATTTTTGTAATTTTCTCTTGCATGTTTATTTTACTGAATGATTAAAATTTCATAATAAGCGTCTCTGAAAGGTCATAAGTCATTGAAAATTAATCCTAAGCTTCTTTTCATTACTCTAACTGGTACACATCTTCATATTTTATGATAAAAAATCGAGTTTAAGAAGAATTATTGCAGCACAGCATTTACCCTTGTCCTTTATTGAATAAAATCAGGAAATGGTAAAGAAATTCCGGTGTATTTTTTCCCTTCACTACACAGGGGGTTGAATACGAATTTTTTCAGAATCATTAGAGGTTAGTTGGGATATTCTTGTACGGTAAAAATGAAGAACATTCGTTCAGATCACATCAAAAACATTTTTATCTCCTGAAGCTCCACATTGAGCACAATCCTCTCTAATTTCACAGTTTTCCGGTTGATTTTGAGTTTCCGCAATGACTAGTGAAAATGCCTTGGTTCAACAGAAAAGAAGGCTTTTCAGCAAACATGAGCTCACTTAAAAAACCTTCTGAGGCTCTGATATTATTTGAAACTATTGATATTATTATTGATTATTATATTAAATTAATTTTCTAAAAATTGCTGTTTGCTGAAAATGGCCGAGTTTCTCAATTGTTATGTCCTAAAAAAAAAACGACTGAAATCCGACATAAATGAGCGTCAAACATCACTGTCATGGTAGTGTTTCCAAAAGGTATTTTAAGAATATCTATCTTGGTACACTTTTCTGAAAGAATTCAGAAAAGATTTCTCTGAAATTTTAAAAAGTCACACAGATTTACAGTGACAGATGATTGAATTGAGTCAACGTTGAATGTAGCTGTGGATGAAAAGTTTTAAAGAGAGAATTTAGAAATCTCTCATGAAACAAGACCAGTACAGAATTACTTTAATTTAAGCACAGAGAACTGAAAACAAGTACACAAATTGTTTTTCATTTCATTTATTCAAGTTTCAGATTCTCACGTTTTATTCAATGATAATTGTTTTTACATTAAGGAATTGCAAAATAGCTTGAAAATAAATCACGATGCACATTTTTACATAAAGAAACATAAATATTTAAAAATTCAACATTCTCATAAAATAAATAAGTAAATGGCGCCAAATCAGAGTTAAAAAATATTTTTACCATAAAATCAAATATGTTCAAAGGTATCTTTGAACTGATAATCTCAACAATACAAGGATATGAAGAAAAGGAAAGAAACCCAGATTTGTAAAATATCTGAGTACTGTACATGCTATTCATTAGGCATTTCAAACATTTTCAGTAATGCCAAGAAGTAATCTTCATTGATCTATGGTAATTGGTATGGTAGATTTTGTTCTTTCCCTTTCAATGAAGTAAGAATTTTATGAGGTCTAAGGGGACATATGAATAGCACTGACCTCAAGTGCTAGATTATAAACGCGTATGCTTCTGACATTGAAAAGTATGTACATAGAAATTCTGTTCATTCTACATTTTTATCATAATTACAGGCTCATAACTACTTATTAGGATTGTCGGACCACGAGAAAACAAAAGAAGAAACATGTCAACAATAGCTATGACAACTGTAATCCAGTAAAATGATAGTTGACGAGGATTTGATGATAAATTGTAATTAGACCTTGTCCCTTTGGGAGGACTCAGAGAACTTGCAGATTCAGTGTTCAATAATTGCGAAAAGTTTGATTTACTTCCATTTTGATTGAAAACGTAGAAGCATTTGAATTTGACAATTTTGGGCCCTGAGCACAATAGATTAAAATTTCAGTTCAATTTAGCTCAAAACTTCAGGTTTTAAACAGCAAAGTTCAAACCATCATAATCCTACTCAAGCTTTAGATTTTTGGGATTTTTTAACGTTGCCAAAATTTATGTAAAATTCTCCTTCACACAAGAGTGCTTATGACTCAGTTTCAAGTTCATTGTCAACAAGATTCCTTCTCCTGCAAACAGTCACGCTAATTTTCATTTTAATTTATTTACAATCGAGTTTTTAACAAAATACTTTTAAAAATTGACAAAATTTACATTATTTCGTACATTAATATTTCTGAGAAATCAGTTAGAAAAAATAGCAATTCAATCCAAAATAAGAAAATAACAACAGAAACGAGGTTGGATCTGGGTAAAATCTTTTTGCTTCTTGAAAACAGTAGTGCGTTTTACTTTATTAGATCAATGGAGGAGCAATGAATTGAAGCTGGATGGAAGAGCTGAATGAAAGACCCACCCAACTTAACATCATAACGTCAGCTCTTTAAGTTTCTACATAATGCTAACATACATTTTCAAAAAAGTCTTGACTCCTAACAGTGTATAGCCAAGTACTCGATTTTTTGTGAGAATTTTTTTTTTTTTTTAAACTAAAAGCTCAATTTGATTGAAATGAATAACTTTTGTTCAAACGAAATTTTTTGATTAGCGATGATTATTTGAATAAAAACTTGCTCAACTTTCACATTGGACAAAAAATTGATTTTTTTATAAATACCTACATATAAATGTACACAAGAAAAAAAAATATTGAAACTTATCAGACAGGAGGTTTACATAAATATAGTAACTGTTTCATTTGGACCTTATTCTGATGTCAACAATAATAATAATTACATAAAAATAACCTACATGCTCCCTTAAATTTAGACACACTCTCGACTTTTTGCTTGGCATCGGTTCCTGCAAATTCAATGAATTGGTGTAGTGTATTCGTTAATTGAAGAGCAAGTTAAATTTACTATTACGAGAGTAGTGCAGTAATTACTGATTGAGAGAGCAATTAGATTGAGTTTCTGAGAGATGGCAATGGGTTAATTCTCTGCAAAAGGGATTGTTTGAACGCATTAAATGTAAAAAAAAAAAAAAAAAAAAAAAAAAAAACCCTTTCATGGATCTATAATTCTGATGAGAGGAAGCCTTCTGCTTTCTCCGAATCAAAGCAGTTCTCAAGAGCGAAACTGATTGACCAAACACGTTAATAGAGCAGGGGAAGGATAGCTGGGTAAGTATAACTTTAAAATTTGATGAAATGTAATTTTGAAAAATTACATAGTAAAAATGGTTACATACACAGAGACGCATAAAAAGCATGGCTGAATGATGAAGCAGTGAAAACCAAGACTGCTGGTTATAAATTACAAAGTATAGATAAGTTAATAGAGATAAATAAATGCAAATTGATTGACACAGTTCTTGTACATATAAAGTGATGAGAAAAAAACCCTGTTTGATTAGGGATGTCCATTTTTTGCACTCATTGTAATTTCAAGTTGTAGTGGTAAGAATGTAAAGGAATAACAAAGAAGTCGATACAAGCAAATAAACTTGAAAAGCAAATTAAGACTTTTCAAATAAACATACAGTACATGTGCTTACAAAGAAAATAGCTAAGCATATTACGTGTAAAATAAGAAAGAAAATAAAAAACCTTCACCACTTGAGCTTCTTTTAAAAAGTAAAAAATTTATGAAATGTTTGAAATTTTGGCGTTTTAAATTATTTGCAGCCTTTGAGTAATTTGTAGAGCAAACATTGGTCCATCATACACAATTTATGCGCAGAAATTGAAATAAAAAATTTAAATTCAAATTTAGAGACTTAAATTAACTTCAAGTCAAGAATTAACAGAAAGAATTACAGTTAAAGAAGTTATCTGGGGTGACACGTTAGAACTTTAAAATTTACTGGCATTTCGTTGATTTTTTCCAGGTTTCAGAAAAAAAAATTTGCTGCTAAATTTTGAAGTATTTTGAGCGTATAAATGCTTTTTAGGGACACATCCAAGAGAAAGTTTCCCGATAGGACGTACAACTGCAAAATTTTGGCAGTACAAGGTAATTTGGACGTATTTATAAGAAAGGGAACTAAGCGCCAAATTTCCAAATTTCAGTTTTTAACGGATCTGGATTCTCCATGTAATAGGCTGCTCGCACACGTAAATATGCCCCCAAAATACTAATTTCATCCCCTGGAATCAGCCCCTGAAAAATCGCAAAACAGGGAATCAGCGATTACGAATAAAATCAAAAGGAACTATATGTAATTCCCTTTGATTTAATGCGCTAACCCGGATTCCGAATTAAATCAAAAGGCGCTATCTCCACTTGA